TAACACTGTGTAGCCCTGGCAAGTCTGACCTGTAGAGGCCAAAAGAGGGCGTAAGATCCCCTGGAACTGGAGTTATGGATGGTTGTTAGCCATAGTGGGTGCTGGGAACTAAACCCAGGTCTTCTGCAAGAACATCTGGTGCTCTAAACCACTGAACCATCTCTTTACCACCCCCTCCCAGAGCTACACTTTCTGATGCAGCTGTAACACAGTTTGGGACAAGGGCAGAAAAAATTGGTAACATCTCTGATTTGTCTTAAGTCAAAAAACAAGGGGCTGTCTTTTTGCAGTAGATGGAGGTTAACACAAAACCCCACGATAGATCAAGGTGCAGAGAACAAGAGCCTGTGGAATGTTCAACCCTAAATGGGACACATATCACACCCTCTCTTCCCAAGGCTCAAGGATTATTGTGAAAGAAGGGATGGAAAGAGTCCAAGAGCCAGAGGCAGTCAATGATGATGACCAAACAAACATGGCAGTTGCACATATGAACTCACAGTGGTTGTGACAGCGTGCACAAAACCTGTGCAGCCTCAAGACAAACAAAATTCCAGCATGGAGAAGTGAGGTAGACATGAAGTCTCACCCCTAGCTGAGAGGATATTGGCAATTGATAGCTACAGGGAAAGGGAACATCAGTTTTCTTTAAGGATGTGACCCCTGGTAGATCAACCATGCTCGAGTGGATGGCCACATGTCCAAGAGTATATGGGCAGCACAATTTGGATTCAGTATGTTTATTTACTTATTTATATTTTATGTGTATGCATGTAAGTGCACCCATGTCCATGGAGGTCAGAAGAGGGTATTGAATCCCTGGAACTGAAGTTATGGACAGTTGTTAGCTACCATATGGGTGCTGGAACTGAACCCCAGGCTTCTGCAAGAGTAGCTAGTGCTCTTCACCACTAGGCGTTGCCTCTCACCCCAATTTTTTTTAAAGAGGACACAAGGCCAGGTGTGGTGGAACAGGCCCTTTATCTTTTTTTATTTTAAAATATTTTATTTATTATTTTTATTTTATTTCATTAGTGTATTGTCTACATGTGTGTCAGTGCACCCATGTGGTGCAATGCCTGTGGAGGTCAGAAGAGGGCATCAGATCCCATGGAACTAGAGTTACTGGTGCTTGGAATCAAACCCAAGTCCTGTATAAGAGCAGCCAGTGCTCTTAATCGCTGATCCATCTCTCCAGCCCCACAGGCCCTTTATCTTTAATCCCAGCACTCAGGAGGCACAGGCAGGCAGATCTCTGTGAGTTCAAGGCCAGCCTGGTCTACATAGGGAGTTCCAGGACAGCTGGGGCTATAGGAAGACCGTTTCATAAACACACACACACACACAAATTTATTTCACTGGTGTGGTTGGCTGTAGACTTTTCTTCGCTCAATCATATACGTCTGTTTAACTCCATTAAGTAACACTCCTGTTCAAGGAGTCATTTCCCTATGTCGCTTAGGTCTGGGCCTCCTATCTACCAATCTAGTCCTTGCTGCCCATTATAGTAATTGCACACATGATGCTTCTGACAATCACATCCTGCCACAGGACTTCTGCTATTCCAGGTTCCATCATTCCCTTTGCTACTAGTGAGTCAGTTGTGTTAGAGCATCTCTAACTACCAGCCCCAGCATGTGACATCAGCCATGAACCTTCTCAGTGATACTGATGGCCCCACAATCCATGTGGTCATTATTACTTTGGTGAACAGAGTGCTCCCCTTGTTGCTGGAGAGATGACTCAGCAGAAGACCCAAGTTTGGTTCCCAGCACACACATTGGACAGCAGGAAGCTCACAGCTGCCTGTAACTCCAGCTCTTGGCCTCTATGTGCATCTGCACACCACACATGTACACATACATTCACACACATACACATAAATAATTTAAATTTTTTATTTGTGTATGAATATTTTGCCTGCATGTATGTAAGTGTACCTGTGTCATGCAGTACCCATGGAGGCCAGAAGAGGGAAACAGATCCCCTGGAACTGGAGTTACAGGTGGTTATTGGCTAGGAACTGAACCTAGGTCCTCTGGAAGAGTAGTAAGTGCTCTTGACCACTGAGCCATCTCTTCAGCCCCCAAATTATAATAATGTCTTCTTCTAAAAAAAAAAAAAAAAGAGTGCTCCCCATACCATTCCAAGGACCATAGCTGATGATCAGTGTAGTCTAATGGTTATATACTAGTTTGTTTTACAAATTTCTTTTTAGCTAGTTTTTATTATTTTTTTAAAAATATTTTATTATTATTTTATGTGTATGAGTGTATTGCCTACATGTATGTATGTGCACCCGTGTTGTGCAATGCTCTCAGAGGTCAGAAAAAGGTATTGGATCACCTGGAACTGGAGTCACAGATGGTTGTTAGCTGCCATGTAGGTTCTAGGAATCAAACCCAGTTCTCTGCAAGAGCAGCCAGTGCGCTTAATTGCCAAGCCATCTCTCCAATCCCCTATTTATTTATATTTTATGTGTATGTGTTTTACTTGGATGTATCTAGGTGCACTACATGCATACAATGCCTGCAGAGCCCAGAAAAGGGCATCAGATCCCCTGGAACTGGAGTTAAGAATAGTTGTTAGCTGCTATGTGGGTGCTGGGAACTGAACCTGGGTTGTAGAAGAGCTGCCAGTGCTCTTAACCCCTGAGCCATGTCTCCAGCTCCACTACAATCTTCTTGACCATTGTTCAGACTGACAATTCTGACATCTCTGCTTCCTTTAATGTGGTTCCTCACCACCACCCCCATCTCTCTCTCGCGCTCCACTCTTACTAGGATGCCAGACTGATCCTAGCTCTTAGGCTAGGCAAGCCTCCTGCCTCAGCTTCCCTGATAACTGCAGCTACATACAAATACCACTATATTTGGCTTTCCTAACTTTTCAAGAATCTTGCCGACAGTGCACTAGACTCACTCATCTCCATCTTTCCACATCATTAATTTCTGTCACATAAAGTACCCTTATATTGCCAAGTTTCTCACCTTTAACCTCCCAGACAGCACACTCAGAAGCCGCTCCCAGCAATAGATTCCGGGGCCTGCCAGCACATGCTAGCCACAACCTGCAGTTCCTTCCATAGGTAATCACTACCCTCGCTCAATCAGCCCAGACTTGCAACAGTCAGGTGGTGGTGAGACATGATTATCCTAATCTGTCAGACAGTAGGGCAGATGGTGGGTGCAGAAGCCAGCTCAGACAGCTAGCATTGTTTCTTGCATCACCTCCCTCACTTGAGGCACCTCCATTGATTCAAGGGAGTCTATTGTCCAAGGTGTGTGGGTCACTTTGGCAGTGTGAATTCAAGGGAATCTAGGGATTTAAAGTCCGTGCACACACCTGTCACACAGTCCTGTCCTTTCCAACCTTATCCCCACCAATGCCGTGACTTTGGCTACACTTGCCTTGACTATGGACTCGGGTTCTACTGAAGTTCTACCATTCTCGTGTATTCATATGTAAGACTTGGAATGTGCTAAGTAGACCAGGCTAGCTTCAAACTCAGGATCTTTCTGACTCAGCCTCCTGAATATTCAAATAAGGCCTATACTTGGCTTTCACTTCCTGCTTGCAGATGTATGTCTCTTTAAATGCTACCAAGAAAATCAAAATCAATCAAATATCTGGCAAGATGGCTCAGTGGATAAAGGCACCTCCGCTGGAGCCTGGTGAGCCGAGTTCAGTCCTGCATAGCGGAAGAAGACAGTTGACTCCCACAGGTTGTCCTCTGACCTCCATACAAGTACTGTGGCATGCACTGCCCCCCATAGATAGATAAATAGAAATGGGATAGAAATATTTTAAAATTTTTTATTAATTTTTTGGGGGATCTTTTTGAGAAATATTTTTCAAAGAAAAAAAAAAAAGGGCTGGAGTGATGGCTCAGAGGATAAGTGCACTTGCAGAGGACCAGAGTTCAGTTCCCAGCATCCATGTCAGTCAGTTCACCAATTCCCTGTAACCCTAGCTCTGGGTGTTCAACACCCTCTGTAGGCACCTGAATACACTCAGACATAGACACATATATCTTGAAAAAAGAGGAGGAGAAGGAGGGGAAGAAGAAGAAAGAGGGGGAGGGAGGAAGGGAAGGGGTGCTAGGGTTCAGAGCCAGGTGACCCTAACCCAGAAACCATAAGGCCCCTAAGAGAAACTGAGTCAACCAACTCCCAGCCACCTGCAAGTTAACAAAAGCAGCTCCGGGAAATCACTTTAGACTCCTCCCTTCTGCCACATCACTACAAACCCCATGCCCTCCCTGAGCAAGCAACCCCCAAAACAGTCCCAAACAGCAGAAAAATAGTCTCTTTTCCCACATTCTTTCCCTTTATAAGCTACCCCTCTGCAGCCATTAGGCTACTGGTTCTTCCTCACACCCGAGTTGAGGACCAGCTCTGCCAAACCCAATTAAACTCTTGCGTTACCAGAGTCCCCTTTGTTTCTGTTTCTCAGCGATCCCGACCCCTGCCACCTTTTTATCTAACAAGGGGGAGTGGGGAGGAATGGTGGTGGCACACACCTTTAATCCCAGTACTCAGGAGGCAGAGGCAAGTGGATCTCTGTGAGATGAAGGCCACCCTGGACTATGTAGTGATTTTTAATTCAACAATTCCTTAGATGGATTTGACTGCCCACCTTACTAGTACTATAAGCCAGTCCAATTTTTTTTTTTTTTTGAGACAGAGTCTTCCTGTAGCCACAGCTGGCCTGGATTCGCTATGGAGACCAGGCTGGCCTCGAACTCACAGAGATCCCTGCCCTCTGCCTCCCAAGTGCTGGGATTAAAGGCCTTTATTTTTATATTTTATGTACATGAGTGTTTTGCCTGCATGTATAAAAATGTACCATGTGTAGTGCAGTGCCCACAGAGGCCAGAAGAGGGCGCTGGATCCCCTAGAACTGGAGTTACAGGTGGTTGTGAGCTGCCATGTGGGTGCTAGGAACTGAACCCAGGTCCTCTGCAAGAGGTGCTCTTAATCCCGCTGAGCTATCTCTCCAGCCCCTTTGAAGCCTAATTTTGCCAAAACAAAGATAACTCAAGTCAACTTCTTTTCAAAAGGTTTAATACGCAAGATGGGAACAATAACTAGAGTACTCTAGTGGTTGGGATAATCATTTCTAGAAAAGGTTCATTGCTGAGGTACCAAAATGGGTGTCATGCTGAAGAGTCCTTTCTTTCACTGCACACTTCCCTGAATAGATATGCTGTCAAACAAGGCAGGAACTATAAAGCTTGTCTACTGTACTCACAAGGCATTCCTGTCAATTTTCTGAGTTTCAAATAAACTGTATCATCTCAAGACTTCCCTTCATTTATCATACTCTCTCTCTCTCTCTCTCTCTCTCTCTCTCTCTCTCCCTCTCTCTCTCTCTCCCTCTCTCATCTATCTATCTTTTGAGACAGAGTCTCACTGTGTAGCCCTGGCTGGCCTGGAGCTTGCTATATAGCTCAAGCTCTGATGTTGGTCAAGGCCTCATAGAGATAAGCCTGCCTCTGCCCTCCAAATGGTGGGATTAAAGGTGTGTGTCGCCATGCCTGGCCAGAGGTTCTTCCTTCATCTAGATTTCCAAGCACAAAGATGCCAACCAAAGCACATCTGTGGATGCTCTGCTGTTCCTGAAGGCCGAGTTCTAACTACAGGATCTCACTACACCTGCAGCTTTGACAGTTAAGTTGGAAACATTCTTGATGTTGTCGTTGTTACATGTATGATAGGAGTTTCTCTTCAGGAAGGCTTCTCTAAAGCTGGGCTGTGTTCCAACAGAAACATCTATACACTTAAGGTGTTTATGGGATCTGTCCTCTCATGGTTTCTCAGATGTTTAAAGAGGCTACAGCTCCAACTGAAACTCATTCCACATTCTTTACATTGGAAGGACTTCTCACCAGTGTGGATTCTCTGATGTTGGTTAAGGTGAGACTTCAGTGTAAAGCCCCGTCCACATTCATTACACTGGTGATAGGCTTTCTTCTGCTGTTTTGTGTGGGGACACTGGCCACTACTGTCTCTACATATATCACATTTATGGGGTGTCTCTGCAGTGTGAGCTCTGTAATGCTGAATAAGGTCTGAACTGTAACTGAAGGCTTTCCCACAGATATCACACTGGTAAGGCTGCTCTTGTAACTCCATCTTCTTATCTTCAATCACTGTCAAGTTCCAGCTGTAGGCTTCCTCTCGAATACCATTTTTCTCGCTTTTCTGTCCCACATGGAGCACTTGGTGTTCAACGAGGCTGACATATTGGAAGAAGATTTCTCCACACTCACGGCACTGGTGAGACTTTTCTCTCGAGTGGAGTCGGAGGTGACCAGCAAGGTGTGAGCGTCGCCCAAAGCCTTTCCCACATTCATCACACTTGAAGGGCCGCTCCCCACTGTGCACACTCTGATGTTGAACAAGATGGGACCTCACTCGGAAGGCTTTCCCACATAAGTGACAGGTGTAGGGTTTTTCACCTGTGTGGACTCGCTGATGTTGAGTGAGGTGCACACGCTGGTTGTAGCTTTTCCCACACTCGTCACACCTAAATGGTTTCTCTCCAGTGTGGATTCGCTGATGCTGAATGAGGTGAGCACTCTGAATGAAGCTTTTCCCACATTCACTGCACTTGTGTGGCCTCTCTCCTGGGGAGGATTTTTTAGGGACACAGGTGACTTCATGGCAATTCATCCTCCTTGAAGAGGGCTGTCCTAGTAACTCTTTCATGACAATTCCCTGCTGTCTATCCTCCTTGTCTTGGTGGTCAGAGCCTTCTCCATGACTTTGAACCTGAGAAGCAGTTCTCTGGATTTTTTCTAATAGTTCCTTGTCTGCTTCTGAAAATTCTGAAATTTTCTTCTTAACATTCAATTTAGTGTTCTTACTTCTTTTGTCATTACCTAAGGAAAATAAAGAGCAAACACAAAAGTCACTTGTTCTTTTACAGAAGAATAAACTCAGATAAAACCATGGTATAACAAGAGTAACAAAGGGGGACATGTGAAGCTACCTGCTGCCAATAGGAATGAAAAGAACAGGACAAAAAAGGAGACTGACAAGGCCAGGCCCAGTGGCACCTGTCTGTAATCCCAATAGCTGGTGGGCAGAGGCAGGAAGAGCTTGAGTGGGAGGCCAGGCTGTGCTACACAGTAAGCTCAAGGCCAGCCTGAGCTATCTAGCAAGACCCTGCCAAAGAAGAAAGGAAGGAAAGTAGGAAGAGAGGGAGGTTAGGAGGGAGGCAGAAAGAGAAAGGGGGAGAGGAGTGAAAAAGAGAGGAAGGAGAAGAGAAGAGAAGAGAAGAGAAGGGAGGAGCTAGGAGCACTGGCACTCTCCTGTAATTCAGCAATTGGGAGGCCTGCAAATTGGCCACCAGCTGGGGCTACACAGCAATCCTAGTACTCAGGAGCTAGAAGCAGGAAAAGCTAAAGTTTTGATGTCATCCTTGTCCACATAGGGACTTCAAGGCCAGTCTGGGCCATATGAAGTGGGAAAAATAAATGAGAAAATTTAAAAAGAAGGAATATTTAAGAATAAATCAAGAACAAAATAAGCTAGTCTTCGGCCAGCACAACTCATCTGTCCTTTGGTTGTTGCTTTGTTGTTTGAACATGGTCTCACTATGTAGGCCCAGCTGGTCTAGAACTGGGTATGTAGACCAGGCTGGCCTCAAACTCACAGAGATCTGTCTACCTCTACCTCCCAAGTGCTGGGATCACATGCATGCACCACTATGCAAGGCCCATCTGTCCTTTGTACTAAGCTAAGAAACCAACGTCTGCCCCGACACCCTCCCAGAACACAAGCTCCTCAAGCTTACATCTTTGGGATTTCTCTCTGAAGTGGCGCTTCAGGTGCTCGATGAGGTGAGAATGGCGGCCAAAGCTTTTCCCACACTCATTACAGCCGTAGGGCCTCTCGCCACTGTGGACGCTGTGGTGCTGCACGAGGTGGGAGCTCACACGGAAAGCTTTCCCACACACCTGGCACTTATAGGGCTTCTCACCGGTGTGGACTCTCTGGTGCTGAGTGAGGTGCACACGCTGGTTGTAGCTTTTCCCACACTCCCCACACTTAAATGGTTTCTCTCCCGTGTGGATTCGCCGATGCTGGATGAAGTTTGAGGCTTGAAGGAAAAACTTCCCACAGTCACCACATCTGTGACCTCTCTGGCTATTTGAGTTCTGCTTCTGGTTCATATCTGTGCCTGTGCAGAGCTCTCTTTTCTGCCTTGACTTCCCCACGGTGGGATTCACTTGCCACCTTTGCACCACGCCCTTCCGGTCACTGACTTCTGGAAACACTTGGTTCTGGGGACCATTCCTTTCTGTGCTTCCGGCTGCCATCCACTGCGAGTCAGCTTCCTCAGAAATCTGCTTTACTATGAGCTCCAAGTTGTTGTCGCTGGACTCATAATCTGAAAAAAGAGAGGAACATGGGCAGGTGAGCTCTTCCCTAGATTACAAGAAAGTGACAGGACACAGGATAATTAAGTGAAACCAACATGTGTCAGGAATGCATCACTTTGTAAAATCACAATACAGAGATGGGATAAATATACACAGAAGGATAGGGCTGTAGCTCACTTGGTAGAGTGCTCACCTGGCATGCACAAAGCCCTGGGTTCCATCCCCAGCACGGCATAAACCCACTAAGGTGGTGCATGTCTACAATCCTAGCAGGATGTAAAGACAGGAGGATCAAAAGGTCAAGGTTATCCTTGGCTACATAGTGAGTTTGTGGCTAACCTGGGCTACATGAGACCCTGATGAAAAAGAGGGGAGGGGAAGGGAGAGGAAGATGGGGGAGGGGGAGAAGGTAGGGGAGAGGAAAGAGGAGAGGGAAAAAGGGAAAGAATATAGAGGCAGAAAATTGAGGAACGGCAGGGGAGCTGGGAAAATGGTTCAAAGGAGGGCCACGTGCTAGAGCACACCTTTAATCTCGGCACTCAGGAGGCACAGGCAGGAGGAACTCTGTGCATTCAAACCCAGCCTGGTCTACATAGCAAGTTCCAGGCCAGCCAGCACTACATATCAGGAAGTATCATTACTACATAGTAAGTCTCTGTCTCAAACAAATTAAGAAAAACGAATGGGTCAAAGGAATAAGACTGGAGAACAGTCACTCTCTTGGTGACTCTTCCATACACTATTTGTTTGCAAACATCTCTATAGTTATAAATATTACTTTTGGCTGGATTTCAACTCAGACTCCTCCTGCCTTCACTGATCAGACCTTTCTCTCCCTTCCATTTCAGAGACATGGTTCCTTAAAGTTAGTCCACAATGGTTTTCCCGAATCTTACTCCTTTGGAATCTTCAAAGAAACTGTCATGTTTCACATTGTATAGCCAGTCCTGTCTCTAAGATACATTTATTTACTTATTTAATTTGAGGCAGGTTTTCACAGAGTCTAGGTTGGCCTCCAACTCCCTACGTGGCTGAGGATGAACTTGAACTCCTGACCCTCCTGCCTCTATCTCCTCCATAGTGAGATGACAGGCGTGTACCACACCTTGTTTACACAGTGCTGGCAATGGAACCCGGGGCTTCATGTGTGCTAAACAAGCACTCTACCAACTGAGCTACAAGCCCAGCCTCCATTTATTTACTTTAAAAAATTATTTATAATTTTTATCTGCATGCATGTAGGAGCACCACATGCATGCAGTGTTGGCAGAGGCCAAAATAGGGCATTGGATCCCCTAGAACCAGAGTTAGAGCCCATTGTTAGCCACCATGTGGGTGCTGGCAACCAAACCAGGGTCCTCTGCCAAAGCAGCCAGTGCTCTTAACCACGGAGCCACCTCGCCAGCCCCCATTTATTTACATTTTTGAAGTTCATTTTTGGGGCTGGAGAGATGGCTCAACAGTTAAGAACACTGGCTGTTCTTGCAGAAGACCTAGGGTCGAATCCCAGCACCCGGAAATCCAATTATAAATTATGTAGTCATCCTTCTTCTCATATTCTCATATGACTGTTGCACTTTCTCCTTGGTAACCCAAATTTTTAAGTTGTGTTAAAAAGCAGTTCCTAAGTTGGGTTGTGGTAGCTCATTCATGTAATTATAGCAATTGAGAGATTGAGGCAGGAAGATTGTCAAAAGTTTGAGGCCAGCCTGAATTACAGAGTGAGACCTTCCTAAAAAATATAAAACGGGCTAGGCAGATGGCTCAGTGGTTAAGAAGTTAAGAACACTGATTGTTCTTGCAGAAGACCTGGGTTCAAATCCCAGTGCCCACATGGCAGCTAACAACTATCCATAACTCCAGTCCCAGGGGATCCAACAGCCTCTTCTGGCCTCCACGGGCATTGCATGACACGGGTGCACTTACCTATATGCAGGCAATACACGCATACACATAAAATAAATAAATAAAATTTTTTAAAGTTTTAAAGTTCATTTTCAAATATGATGGATAATTTTAAAAATCCTGACCTTTTGCCAGGCGTGGTGGCACACACCTTTAATCCCAGCACTTGGGAGGCAGAGGCAGGCAGATCTTTGTGAGTTCGAGGCCAGCCTGGTCTACATAGTGAGTTCCAAGACAGCTGGGGCTACAAGGAGACCCTGTCTCAAAAAGACAAAAAAAAAAAAAAAAAAAAAAAAAAAAAAAATCCTGACCTTTTGTCATGCTGTCAGAAGCCCACAGGCATGAAAACAATAGAGTATGGCCTTCTAAGGATGAGAAGGCAGAAACCTTTCTGAACACAGTCTCCATGTAGAAGGGTATCCAAAGCCATATCTTTATAGATGTGGGAATTGAATGAAACAGCCAGGCCTTGTGGCACAGACCTCTCACCCCAGCTACTTGGGAGGCTGAGGCCCACAAGTTCAGGGTCAGCCTGGCCTACAGAGTGAATTCAAGGCCTGCCTAGGAAACTTAGTAAGAACCTATCTCAAAATAAAAAGTAAAAGGGGAGCTGAGCGACGGCTCAGTTGGTAAGAGCACTTGCTGCTCTTGTAGAAGATCTTAGTTTGGTTCCAGCACGCACGCGAAGGCTAAGAATCACCCATAACTCCAGTTCCAGGGGATCCAATGCCCTCTTCGAGTCTCCTCGGGCACTGCAGACACATGGTACACTTGCATGCAGGCAAAACACTCATACACATAAAATAATAAATATTTTTAGAGTAAAACAGGGACTGGAGAGATGGCTTAGTGGCTAAGAGCACTTGCTACTCCTGCAAAGGAACCAGGTTCAAGTCCCAGGACCCACATGGCAGCTCCATTGCCCTCCTGTGGCCTCCAAGGGTACTGCACACAAAAACATTTATACACATTAAATATACATACATACATAAATAAATCTTTTTAAAGGCTGGTGCTGGGAATGTAGCCCAGTGTACATACAAGAACACAAGCACATTAGTAGCATACAAGAGGTCCTGGATTCAACCTGCAGGGCTACAAAAAACGATGTGACCAAAAAGATCAGAAAGCAAGTATGGGAGACCGGCATAGGAAACAACTGTGCCAAGAACAGGTAGCTAGATTTGAACTCACAATCCTCCTGCCTGAAACCTGAACGAAACCCACATATACACATACACACACGTGCGTGTGCACGCACACACACACACACACACACACACAGACACACACACACACCCTCTCAAACCTGCTAAGTACCTCTATAATAACAGAAATACATAAAGCAGCACTAGGTGTGGTGGTGCATGCCTTTAATCCCAGCACTGAGGAGGCAGAGGCAGGCAGATCTCTGTGAGTTCAAGGCCAGCCTGGTCTACATAGTTAGTTCCAGGCCAGCTGGGGCTACTGGGAGATCCTGTCTCAAAAAAAGACCAGTAGCTGGGGCTACTGGGAGACCCTGTCTCAAAAAGAAAAAAAACAAAATACATAAAGCAATATTAATAGACTCAAGTTCAGCAAGGGAACTGTACTAATTTAAAAGGGAGAGAATGAAGAAAACATCTACATTAAATATAATATATTTCATGTATAAGTAACTCATTAAGATAAAAGACTAAGGCTAGGCCAGGCATGGTGAGCCTTTAGTTCCAGCACTCAGGAGGCAGAGGCAGGCAGACCTCTGTGAGTTCAAGGCCAGCCTGGTCTCCATAGTGAGTTCCAGGCCAGCTGGGGCTTTAAAAGGGAGAGAATGAAGAAAACATCTACATTAAATATAATATATTTCATGTATAAGTAACTCATTAAGATAAAAGACTAAGGCTAGGCCAGGCATGGTGAGCCTTTAGTTCCAGCACTCAGGAGGCAGAGGCAGGCAGACCTCTGTGAGTTCAAGGCCAGCCTGGTCTCCATAGTGAGTTCCAGGCCAGCTGGGGCTACAGT